GCTGGGCGGCAGGCACAGCTGGGGGGTGACACATTGTGCAATGGGAAAGGGACACCGGGGCTACAGCCACAGGGGGACCTCGGGAGACAGGCCTGGGGGAGGTGGGGTCAGGTGCTGGTTCAGAGGAGGCAGGAGGTGCATCGTGTGAGGGCCTGGGACGCCTCTGCGGGGCCGCGGTGGGGCTGAGAGGGCTCCAGGGGACAGTGCATCCTGGGCGTGTGGCTGGGCAGAGCGCCGTGGGGTGGCCGCGCCCCCGTGCCGCTGCTGCCCTCCCTGGGCCACTGACCCCTCCCGCGGCGTCCCCCGTGCCCTCTCTGAGACAGCACAACGCTGTGCTCACGGGAGACGTGGAAGGGAGCTCCGTCCATCATCCCAGAGCGGGCGCCGAAGGGCCACGGTGTACGGAGCCGAGAGGCAGCAAGTTCATGACGGCGCGGAGATGAGTGGGTGCGGGGCCGGCGGAGCCCCGACGGGCAGGCAGAAGAGCAGCCACGGCTCTCACCGGCCCCTGCGGTTTCTTCCAGCTTCATGGGACGGAAGGCTAGAGAAAAGCTGTGGGGTAACCGTGCTGATGAGGCTGTCGGTGGCAGTGAGGCTGCTCTCAGGTGCCCGGGGCCTGATGCAGCAGGGCCTGGGCTTCAGGCTCCCTCCCCGTTCAGGGCAGAGCAGGTGTCGGGGCAATCCCTGCGGCCCCTCGGGCTCAGCGTCTCCACTGTGAGAATGGAGGCAGGGGGCGCCTGAGTGGCTCCGTCGGTTGGGCCTCCAACTGTTGCGTTTTGCTGGGGTCATGCTCACAGTTCGTGGGTTCGAGCCCCATATTGGGCTCTGTGCTGACAGTGCCGAGTCTGCTTGGGAGTCTCTCTCTCTCTCTCTCTCTCTCTCTCTTACTCTCCTCATCTCTCACTCTCTTCCCCTCCTCATTCTCTCTCTCTCTTCCCCCCTCTCTCTCAAGAATAGAAAAACTTAAAGAAAAGAAAAAGAAAATGGGGACAGTGCTTATATACACCATGTAGGACTGTTGTGAACATTACATGAAATAACGCATTTCTTTTCGTGTTTGTTTAAAGAGAGTGCGTTTCTACACGTGTAACATGGTGGAATTGCAGTTCCTCAGCCATCTCCCTGTTTCCTTTTTTTTTGGTACATACACAGCTTTATTAAGATACAGTTCAAGTGCCCTGCAGTTCACCTATTGAAAGCGTACAATGAGCAGTTTTAGGTATATTCACAGAGTTGCGTGACCGTCACCCCAGTCAGTATTTACCCCCACAAGCAACCTGGCACCTGTTTGCACTGCTGCCCACTGCGGTGTCCTCCCTGCCCAGCAGTCAGACAAGACCGTTCAAAGATGGCAATCGAATGAGGCCAGCTCGTAACTCTCAGCGATCCCCGCTGTGCAGGGAGTAGCCTCCGGACCCCATGCCCCGGAGACAAGGCCCCGAGTCTTCTGGCCGCCCCTTCCCCCGCGCCCCGCTCCCTCGTGGTGGGTGGATTCCAGCCACGCCGGTCTTCCCGCGCGCGTGCGTACCAGGCTGCCTCCCGACTCTGTATCTTTGCCCTGGGGGTTCCGTTCCAATTTGCCCAGATTGTGCTTCCTTTGTGTGGTTGCACGCAGCCACTGCTTGTCCCCCAGCTTGGCCGTCACCACCCCCTACCCAGTCTTCCTGAGCCATACACCCCCTTCCCTGCCCAGGCCTTATTTTTTTTGGGGTGGTGGGTCCCTGTCTCTCTCCCTCCACTCGAGTGTAAGCTCCAGAAGGGACGAATTCCTGAATGCCCAGGGCCCAGGTGAGGGCCCAGCGCTGAGCGCATAAGACAGAGTAGGTGAATGAGCGGGCACCAAACCCAAGCAGTGATTACTTGTCTTCTGTTACTGTTGTTGGTCAGTGTCCAGTAAATGCTACTGACCTGAAAGTCAAGTTGATCGTGTATTGAATGTGTGCAGGTTACATCCAGGGCAGGTGAAAAGTGAATAAATGAGGTCAAGTTGGCTAAAGGAGATGGCCTTGGGGCTAATTGTGCTTGGCTCAGGTGACACAAAGTGTTTATTTTAGCCTGTGCCAAACACTTACCCCTGTTTTGCCGCAGGATTGTGAGAAAGGAGAAGGCAAAGGTCCTGCTCCAATATTCGGTCCCCGGACCAAATCACACTTTGTATCAACTGGATACTTGATAAATGGTTAGTATTATGGATTTAGCTGGGAATGAACCGCATTGAGCTCTAGGTAATATGTAACAATGTAACCAAAGAATACATCGGGGGCTCCTGGGTGGCTCACTCAGTTAAAGTGTTTGACTTCCGCTCAGGTCATGATCTCACGGTCTGTGGGTTTGAGCCCTGCATTGGGCTTTCTGCTCACAGCTCAGACCCTGGAGCCTTCTTCAGATTCTGGGTCTCTCTCTTTCTCAGCCCCTCCCCTGCTCACACTTTCTCTCTTTCTCTCTCAAAAATAAACATTAAAAAAAAAAAAAAACTATAGGGAAAAAGGTCCCTATTCCTTCCTTCCCCTAAAGGGAACCAGTGGTATCAGCTTGTTACGGAGATTTTCTGCATTGGAAGCATGTCTGCATGTGTTTCCTCTTGTTTTCATGCAAAGAATAGCAACCTTGACATACCTTTTGGCCCCTTGCTTTTCCATTTAGCTTATCTTGCAGATTGGGGCCCTTTAGCATGTGTAGCTCTCTCTCTCCTTGGAAGGCTGCTGTGGGTGCTCCCTGTTGATTTCACCAGCCCCCTCTGATGAACGAGTAGGTTCGTTTCCCGCCTTTTGATGCCGCAGCGCATCTTTCAGGGACGCCCCTGCTACTTTGTGCACGCGCACACATCTGCAGGGTAGGTACCGAGCGGCCTAACCTGGTAGCTTGGTGTGCAGAACCTTCTGCTAAAACGAGACAGATGAAACTCCTGTGAATGGCCGACCTGATGGTTGGTTTTCTTCAATTCTTTCCCCAGCTTTCACTTAGAAACATACGAGTACGGGAGCCGCTGTTACAGGATTATTGTAGGATGGGGACAGGGGTGCGGGTTCACGTCACAGAGGGGGCGGTCGTGACCGGCAGTGTGCACAGACACAGGTGTGCTCACCATCAGGTGAGTCCCCGTGTCCTTCCGGCTCCTGTGTTCCATGCGCACGTAGCGAGCGTCCACCGACACCCCGCGTGGGGGCTTCATGTCCACACACGGCAACGGTTCTGGGCTCCTCGAGACTTGCGTGGGCCTCTGGCCTGCGGACACGTGAGAACCGTGCTGCCACGGATCAGTTCCCAGGAGTGAAATCTGTCCTTGTCGGATGCGCTCCACTTGAGCACTGATTTACTGGAATGGAGACGCTATTTAAAACAATTTTTTTTTTTTACTGTTTGTTTATTTTTTTTTATTTTTTTATTTTTTTTAAATATTTTTTTTTATTTATTTCTAGGAGAGAGAGAGAAAGCGTGAGCAGGGGAGGGTCAGAGAGAGATAGGGAGACACAGACTCTGAAACAGGCTCCAGGCTCCGAGCTGTCAGCACAGAGCCCGACGCAGGGCTCGAACCCACGAACCGCGAGATCATGACCCAAGCGAAAGTCGGACGCTCAACCGACTAAGCCACCCAGGCGCCCCACTGTTTGTTTATTTTTGAGAGACGGAGAGAGACAGAGCTTGAGCAGGGGAGGGGCAGAGAGAGAGGGAGACCCAGACTCCGAAGCAGCTCCAGGCTCCCAGCTGTCAGCACAGAGCCTGATGCAGAGCTTGAACTCATGAACTGGGAGATCATGACCTGAGCTGAGATCAGACGCTTGACCGACTGAGCGGCCCAGGCGCCCCCGAAGATGCTATGTTTAAGGAAGAGCATTGTGTTTCATCATGGAAATTTCGAGCATCTGGACAGGCAGCTTGCTGATGTCCAGGGACGAGGCTGCTCCGCTCTGTACCCCAGCACCCTACCAGGGCCTGCCTGGCCCGTGGGAGGATGGGGAGAAGGGAGGGCCGGGGTGGACCCTAACTACATAAATCGTCACCTCCCTGTCTGCTTGCTTTCACTTCACTGGCAGCATCGTGGGGGGCGGGGGATGGGGAGGGTGCTGGCAGGACTGGGTTTCTGCCTCCCAGCAGCTCGGGGTGGGGTGATCCCACTGCAGTGCTTACGAGGGCTTGTGATTCTCAAAATGCCCTGAGTAGGGGCTCTCCGGAAGGGCAGGTGCTCTCCGAGGGGCTTCGTTCCACCGGAGCTGCCCCCGTCACCCTGCATGTGCGGGGCCCCCCCCGGGAGCAGGTGCACTAACAAGCTGACCTCCCAGGACAAACCCCAGCGGGCACCCTGGCCCGGCTCTGGGTGACCCCGGGCCGCGGGCCAGTGTCTTCCTGGCTGGCTCCTCTGGGCTGTTGCCGAAAGGGATCTGGGTGTGGAGGGAGTTTTTTCCCCTTCTTTCCCCGGTCACCTGGGTAGAGCCGGCGACCGTGACAGCGTGCGGGGCTGGCAAGACACTGGGTTTTCTGATGAGACAGAAGTCATTCAAGGCCAAGATGTTGTTGCTCACATCTTGGCAAACTGGGTTGCTTTATGTTTTCTTTTCTTTTCTTTTTTCTTTTTTTTTAAGCAAACAGACATTTTTTGGGGGTGATTAGAACTGGAATTTGAGAGACACAGACTGAGGTAGAAGTCTGAGATTCTCCTTGGGGGCTGTATTTAACTGCTGTGGGCCTTCCTCTCTCATCAGCAGCGTGTAAAAGTAGTAGTGGTCATGTGTCACTCGGTCTTTACTTTTTAACTTAAATCTCATTTTAAAAATGAATCTTACGCTGTGATGATGTACGTCATTTGGGCTTGCGGGCAAAGCATCTTTTATTTGGACCATGGCTTCTTAGGACCCTTGGCTCTGTTTCCCCCTCATGATGAGGAAGCCCCCATTCGTGGCCATTGTCCTTGACCCAGTAAAGTTGCTTTAGAGAAAAACGTTCGAGGAGAAGTGGACACGTGTGGCCGTGGCCTTGACAGTGTGGCTGTGTCTTCCCCACAGGTGCTGTGAGTGGCTGAGATGCTGTGGCGGAGGGGAGCCCAGGCCCCGCACTGTGTGGTTGGGGCATCCCGAGAAGAGGGACCAGAGGTACCCTCGAAATGTCATCAACAACCAGAAGTACAACTTCTTCACCTTTCTTCCTGGGGTGCGTACGGGGAAGAGACCACACCCTTTATTTCCTTCTCATGCCAGATGTGGGCAGTGGTACCGGTTTTAGAAGAAAAAGGTCCCTGGGGCACCGGGTGGCTCAGTCGGTTAAGCAGCCGACTCCTGGTTTCAGCTCAGGTCCTGATCTCACAGTTGGTGAGTTCGAGACCCGTGTCTGTCTCTGAGTCTGCTTGGGATTCTCTCTCTCTCCCTCTACCCCGCTCACGCTCTTTCTCTCTCTCTCTCAAAAATAAATAAATAAATAAATAAATAAATAAATAAATAAATAAATATTTTTAAAAAAGAGATAAAAGACACACGTCCCTGTGGCAGAGGAACCTGTGACTTTTCCAGGCTGCCTGAGCCGCTGGCCGTTCATCTTCTCTGGTCCTGAGTACCTAGCGGGGGCTGCCTTCTGAGGTTTCTGCTCTGACGCTGCACTTGGTCCATTAGAATAACTTCACATTTAGCTGGTGTGTTAGGTGCAAGAGTGAAAAAGATATTTTGGGGACCCAGCGTTATAACCAAAATACCAAAAAAATCCACAAAAACCAAAAACCCATCAGAGCTTAAATTATCCCTTCTATCTTCATGGAACGCATATTCGCTATAGGAAAGGCAGGAGATACAAGTATCAAGATGTTTTACTTAAAGGTAAGTTTTAATCCTACACCTGAGGGAATTGCTGTGGACATTTGTGCTAATGGACATTTTGCTTATTACTTTATGCTCTGGAGCCCTAGCATTTCCACGGTAGCTTAGGCCAGTCCGTGGATTTTAACTCTCCAGACCCTCCACCACCCCCACACATGCTCAAATTGAGCACCTATTTTTATCCAACAGGCCTCCAACACTCACTGGCTGACTGACTTTAGAAGCAGCAGCGATCAGTTCCAGTGCCAGAAAGGGGGGGGGGGGGGGGGGATGACTGTTTGATTGATTGAGATTCCAGAAACACAAATGTGTAATTTGAATGTTTTTTTAAGGGCGACTCTGACTACATTCACTGCTACGTTCACCCCACATCTCTCCCCACCCCCAAATCTCAATAGCTTAAATCATGGAAAAATTTATTTCTCATTCATGGAAGTTCTGGTGCGGAGCAGACCCCTCTCTTCCATGTTGTAGCTACGCCGTCTAGAATGTGAGGCCCCCAGTATCTCTGTGACTGAGCAAGAGTGAGTTGGCTGAAAAATGACTCTTGAGTGCCGCAGCCGCAAAAAGACACATCATTTCCGCCCAGCGCCCCCGACAGGCATGTGGTGCCCGTCTCACCCCCAGGGCGCATGGGGGCCTTCGAGGCTCCTTCTGAACCCACCTCCGCTCAGGATAGGATTCTGCTCATTTTATGGGGTTGAGCTCATATCGTGGAGAGGGTAGGTTACCTCGTTTTCCTGATCAATCTTACAGTAAAGGCATCTCCCACTAAAACCTCTCCTGAATATTTTGAGGGGCTTCCCTGCACTTAGAAGATAGTGTTTAAAAATATTTTTTTTTAATGTTTAATCATTTTTGGGGGGGGGGCAGAGAGAGAGGGAGACATAGACTCTGAAGCGGGCTCCAGGCTCTGAGCTGTCAGCACAGAGCCCGACGCAGGGCTTTAACTCATGAACCAGAGAATCATGACCTGAGTTGAAGTCAGATGCCTAACTGTTCGAGCCACCCAGACACCCCGAAAGATAGTTTTTGAGTAATAGCTCATCACAGATACAGTCGAAAGCCCCGGCAAGCCCTCCCCAGCCCCAGAGGTACCCACTGTCTTGAATTTGGTGTTTATAATTTCCACGTGTGCCATTATTTATTTTTTTACTTTTACTAATTCTGTTTTGATTACCCATGTGTATTTTCCTAAACAACATGCAGAAGCGTTTAAGCTCGACATGAACGGCATCGCGGGGGCTGTGTTCTCCCGTAGGAACAGTCTCAGCTGTTACCCCCTCCCCCTGCAGGCGTGTCTCACGAGCTGAGCCATGACTGTCTCCTCCCTCTCTTCTCTCTCGTCATTCCAGGTGCTGTTCAACCAGTTCAAGTATTTTTTCAACCTCTATTTCTTACTTCTTGCCTGCTCTCAGTTTGTTCCTGAAATGAGACTTGGTGCGCTATATACCTACTGGGTCCCGCTGGTGAGTAAATGGGTGGTGTTCGTTCGGCGATGTCGGGGGTGGGAGGGCAGACGCTGCTTTGTCTCTGTCCCCCGGGGAATCGGAATGGGATGCAGCCTCTTACGAGAGAGGACAGCCTCAAGCTCCCCCCATTTCACGCACCCCCAGGGTCAGGCTGTGGGGAAGCGGTAAAGCCCATGCCCTTCGTCCATTCTGTCCCATCAGCCAGTCAGTGACTCATTCTTTTTAGTACCTGTGCATTTCATACTTACGGTCTGTCTCGCCTGTTTCTAGACTCTGGGGACACAGTGTCAGGTGAGAAGGACAAGGCTTCTGTCTTTGTGGGTTGTGCTGTGTGAACCATTTTCTGAGATCCTGTTTTCTGTTTGCGTAGAGTCTGCCAGCACGAGGGTTTGGAAAGTACTGGGTTTTGTGCTTTGTGTATGAAGTGAGACAGAACCGACCAGAAGGCCCCTCCATTCCCTCCTTTGCCTCCTTTGGGCAAATGGTTATGTAGTAGCGACTGTGTGCCCGGCGCTGTGCCCTGTGCTGGGAACACAGCAATGAATGCAACATAAAAATTCCTGCCCTTGACCAGGTGGTTTTCAGAGGACGATAGACAGTAAGCAGATTAATGCAATCATTTCATACTGTGGAAAGCGCTGCAAAGATTCTAGAACAAGACCCTGGGCCAGATAGGCTATCCCAGGCCCATTTAATGTTTGCTGAGTGGGTGAAGGTGGGAGTGAGGGATGTGGAAGGGCAGCCTTGGCCAGTGTGGCCGTGGAAAGCATTGCAAGGAGGGGGATGGGCAGAAGAGGAGGGCGGGAGTATCCCAGGTACAGAGAGCAGCAGTGCAAAAGCCCTGCGGTTGGCATGTGCTCAGAGCATCCGAAGAACAGAAGGAAGCCCAGGGTGACTGGGGTGTGGAGAGGGTGGAAGTGACCTCTCTTTTTACCCAGGTAGAAACTATGTATTTCACGTGAAGTGGGGCTGGGGGAGGGGGGGGATCACTTGGATTCTCAGTCCACAAATACTGTTACATTTTTCATTGAGAGAAGATCCTTACAGTAGGAAATATTTAAGCCTTTCTTAAAGGAACAAGGATAGAATTTTTATTTATCTGTTCATTTTTGGTGGCAGGTGGGAGACGATAAGGGTTTGGTGCAGGGGCACGTGCGGTGTAGGGAGAGCCAGGTGCGAAGAGAGCCGAGGCGGGTGGGTGTCCGTACACCGCGCGGGCGCAGCAGGGACAGGTGACGCCCGGCAGCTCCAGCCCTGAGAAGGGGGAGGGGGTTGAGCTTTTCCCACAGGAACAGCAAGGGTGCTTTCCGGATGTGCAAACACTTCTCTCCCGACCCGAGTCATTGTGGGTGAGGCAGGACTCTGGGAGCGGAGAAGACTTCTGTCACACGTCCTGCCTCGCGTGACGGACGCTCCCACTCCGGGCGCCGCACGCTCGGAGGCCCGGGCGACACTCAGGGTCAGGAGGACCGGGGGCTCCCATCCCATCCGGAGCACAAGGGGCCGGTCCACGCCAGCAGGCGCGAACGCAGACCTGGAGTCCCCAGACCCAAGCGTTGGAAGCTTTAGAGAGTTCTCTGTGAAACAGCCCAGTGTGCTCGGCGGTGTTTAGCTCCTCAGCTGGAACCACACACCTACCTGGAGTCAAACCTACGTTAACTTACGTGAAAAAATGTTAGTCTATAATGTATATAAAATCACATTGCCTTTTATTGATTACCTTTTTATTTTTAAAAATTATTATTATTTTTTAATTTAATTTATTGTCAAATTGGCTACCATAGCGTGTATACAGTGTGCTCTCGGTTTTGGGGGCAGATTCCTGTGGTTCATCGCTTAGGTACAACACCCAGTGCTTATCCCAACAAGTGCCCTCCTCAGTGCCCAGACCCCATTTCCCCATCTCCCCCACTTCTCCATGGTTACCTTTTTATTTATTATGATTTTTTTAGAAAAAATTTTTAATGTTTTATTTATTTTTGAGAGAGCGAGAGAGAGACAGAGTGTGAGCAGGGGAGGGGCAGAGAGAGAGGGAGACACAGAATCCGAAACAGGCTCCAGGCTCTGAGCTGTCAGCACAGAGCCCGACGCGGGGCTCGAACCCACGAACCATGAGATCATGACCTGAGCCAAAGTTGGACGCTTAACTGACTGAGCCACGCAGGTGCCCCTAGATTTTTTATTATTTTAAAAAAATTTCAATGTTTTATTTATATTTGAGAGAGAGAGAGAGAGAGAGCAAGCGAGCGAGCGAGTGGGGAAGGGGTAGAGAGACAGAGACAGAATCTGAAGCAGGCTCCAGGCTCCGAGCTGTGAGCTGTCAGCACAGAGCCTGACGCGGGGCTCGAACTCACGAACCGTGAGATCATGACCTGAGCTGAAGTTGGACACCTAACCGACTGAGCCACCCAGGCACCACTTTGGTTGCCTTTTTAAAGTGTGGTTATTTGAAAGCTAATACATTCACATGATTCAAGATATATATAAAAATAGACCCAGTGAAAATTTCACTCCGGTCCAGTCCAGGTGGGGTGGGCAAGTGGTGAGCACTGGGGTGCTCCCCCCGCCCCGAGTGAGAGGTCCCAGTCCCCACTCCTGCCCACATCTCCTTGCTGAAGCGATGCCTGGAGTTCCCAGGAGAGGCCTGGCCTTCCATGCACACAGTCAGAGTAGCCTCCAGGCTGACCCTCCTGCCTTCCCTGGACTGGTGGCTGCAGCTAGAAACCAGGCAGGTTCACAGCAGCCTCTGCTGGTCCTGAGGTTTCTTTTTTTTTTTCTTTTTTTTTTTTAACGTTTATTCATTTTTGAGAAAGAGAGAATGTGAGTGGGGGAGGAGCAGAGAGAGAGGGAGACACAGAATCCGAAGCAGGCCCCAAGCTCTGAGCTGTCAGCACAGAGCCCGACACGGGGCTCGAACCCACACACCGGGAGATCGTGACCTGAGCCGAAGTCGGACACTCAGCTGACTGAGCCACCCAGGTGCCCCTGGTCCTGAGGTTTCTGACTCTGCACCTGCGTCTCCCTTACAGCCAGGTTTCCCTGTGACCGTTTAGGAATGTGAGGGGATGTTGGTCTTCCTGTCTTCCCAGGGGCTACAGAGAAGAAGGCTTGGGGTCAGAGACAAAGTAGATGGCATCTGTTTGTAGGTGACGAGAGCTGATGGCCCCTAGATTTTTATGTGCAGAATCACTTTCTGGTTCTTGACCAGAACGTGTTTTGAAATGTCTCTGTCTGCCTGAAAGGCCTCCTGCTTCAGAGCCAGCTCTGGGTGAGGGTGGTGGTCCTGACTGAGGGCTGCGCTGTGGCCCCTGGCTGCACGTTGGGACATTGTGTAATTTAGACCTCAATTTTCTCATCTGTAAAATAGGCACGATCATGTCCACTTCCTTGGCATATTGGGAGGATTCAGTGAAGTACTGCAGATAAAATGCTTCCTTTTGTTCCCAACGAACAGAAAATTCTCAGGACATACTCTCTTCTGAATTTTAAATTCCTGGCACTCGTGACATTGTTCATTGTCTGGATTAGGGTTGAGCTTTTGATACACTTTTTCTTGGTGCTAATATATTAGAGGGAGAAATTCCTCAATAGATAGCTGAAATGATCCCTAAAATTGTTTGTATGAAGACCTAGGTTTCTTTTGTTATTAAGATAGATCTGTGTACCGTAAAATGCACAAATAGTATATTTGCAGCTAAGTGAGTGGTCACACTCGTCAGCACCCATGGAAACACCACCTCAGTCAAAATACAGAGCATTTCCATCACCCTCGTCCCCAGGTCCCCCCTTCCTGTCAACCCCTCCTGAACCAGAGATCAGTGCTTTTCTGATTTCTAGCTCATAGATTGCAACTTTACCAAAGGAGGCCCAGCACCTTCACAATGCCTTCTCTGGGCGCCATCACTGCTTCTGAGTCCGTTTACCAGCTCAGGCAACCCCAGGCCTCCCTATTTAAGCCTCCTTCTAAACATCCGTGGATATGAAGGACCTCTGAGGTTAGATGGTTGGAATTTATTCCTGGACTACATTTGCATCTCTCAGCGAAAGCATTTTCTAGCCTAAGGGTTGGCAGGTCCTTTGGGATTAATGGGAGCTGTGTGTTTGGGGGGCAGGGAGGAGGAGATCCAATAACTTAGGAGGCCGCATTTATTTGCAGCAGGGAGGTTAGTGGCAAATGGAGCACACACTTTCCATTAACATCAACGGGATTTACTAGGTCCACACGGCGAGAAATCGAAACGGGAACGTTTGAAAAAACCAACAGCAAACATCTGGGTTCTGGCCCAGATCAGCAACCCGGCAGCGTGGCGGGGGGTGGGGTGGGGGTGGTGGTCCTGCAGCGGGGGTCTGCTCTCTTCCAGAACAGGTTCCCCCTCACCTCTGGGTCTAGAGTTCTGCTTTTATTCTGAAATGTGCTCGTTTTGCTCAGGCTGTGTCTTGATTGGAAACAGGAGTAATCCTTTGATTGTAAAGATGAATGAGCCCTTGGAGAAGGCTTACAAAGCAGCACATCTCTGGCTAGATTTACATAAGAGATTTAAAGTCCTTTGAATGGAAGCTAATATATTTCACAGGGTAAACAGTATGAAAATGAAATCCTCAAAGAATCACCGCTGCTAACGTTCAGGGCGATGGTGCTTTTTATGTATTAAAAAAAAAAAAAAGGCTTGAAAGAGAGATGACAGGGATATTTTGTAAGAAAAAAAATGAATGAATGTTCTTGCCTTTATTGACACGAATGGAGAAATCTGGACGGAAATAGATTTTTGTACGGCTGACCCTCCACCCCCAGCCCCCGCCAAATTTTATATGAGTTGAGGTACCCGACCTGGGAAAGGTCGGGCAGCTTCAGTGTTCTTTTTATTAGTTTCTACTTCTGCAATTAATACTGCAGTGTTTTCTTTAGAAGGATTGAAAACGTTACAGAGAAGACCAAAGCCTCCTTTGGCCTTTCCCACTCCCCCAGTCTTTTCCTTGCAAAGGAACCTAGCCAGTAGTTAAGGAAATTGGAAACTGTTTACAAAGTACGGTCCTTGTGGTCGGTGTGGGCATGCCTGGTGTTACATTGTGTGTTGTGAAAAGTTAATTTCCCCACTTGGGAGGTCAGTGCAAAGGGACGGAGCTCATTCTTAACTGGGTCCCAGTGTGCGCCGTCTTACTGGCTGCTCTGTTTTCCACGTTTCTCTGGCTGCGGAACATTGTGGCTGGAAAGGAGTCTCTGGAGCCAGCCGTTCTGCCTGTCGCTTAGGAGCTGTGTGTGCTTGGGCAAGATTACTCACCCTTTCTGTGCTTCCAGTCCCCATCTCCGCACTAGTGAGCGTGGGGTGGTGCTGGGGCTGTACCTCCCCTCGCGTGGCGTCTAGCACCTGCAGTGTGAGATACAGACGTTACCAGGCACCATCACTCAGCCACGGCCTATGGACTGACCACCCTTCTGACTCTCAGACGCCCTGCGGGGTGGTGGGTAGGGCTGCCCCTGTATGTGTGCCGTCAGCCGGTGTTTCCCGGGGCCGGTGTGTAGGAAGGACTCAGAGAAATGGGCTTGCGGGCAGGTGCGTGTGGGGTGATTAGCGGGACCCGCCCAGCGGCCCTCCCGTGTGGCCTCCGGCCCCGTCTGTCCCCAGCGCCAGGAGAGGAAAGTCGCTTTCCACGGGGCTCACCCTCTATCCTGTCTCCGCAGGGCTTCGTGCTGGCCGTCACTGTCATCCGAGAGGCTGTCGAGGAGATCCGATGCTACGTGCGCGACAGAGAAGTCAACTGCCAGGTCTACAGCCGGCTCACGGCCAGAGGTCAGCCTCCCGGCTTCACCAGGGCCGCTGCGTCAGGGGCCAGAGTTCAAGGCCCGGGGCTGGGGGCGTGCGGACACCGCGTGGCGGGACAGTCACTCAGTGGCCGGCCCCGGGGAGGCCAACGCATGCCCGGGGCCTGCAGGGACCTGGGCTGCATCCCCTAGGCTGCCGCGGGTCTGTCCTGCAGCCCGGCCTGTGGCTGACTGGGGCATCACGCTGGAATGGAACTCCGTCTGCGGGGCAGCCTCCTCTGGCTGACCCTGACCCTGGGCTGGCTGAGGAGGGAGGGCGGGCCCCTCCTGTTCATGCGGAGGCCACCAGTCTGTCCTAGGAGTCTGTCCTATGGGCTTCCAGGGAGCTCTGCTTTAAAAGATACTCTTTCAACATGACAAAGCTAATGCTACAACTTTGCAACATTAGTTTTTTAAATGGGCGCCAGATTTATAGCTGCATCTCTGCAGTTTTTGTTGAAGGGCATCCTATAAATCCTCCAACTTACGGTGGAGAGTCTGACCCAAAGAGAATCAGCGAGATAGCCCTTAAGCATTGAATCCCTTGCAAGGCACATGCATTAAAGAAAAAAACCAAACCTTTTTTTTAATGTTTATTTATTTTTGAGAGAGAGCGCGAGCAAGAGAGAGCGAGCGAGCGCGCTTGAGCAGGGGAGGGGGAGAGAGAGAGGGAGATACAGAATCTGAAGGAGGCTCCAGGCTCTGAGCTGTCAACACAGAGCCCAACATGGGGCTCGAATCCCCCCCCTCCCCCATTGCGAGATCGTGACCTGAGTCGGACCGAGCCACCCAGGTGCCCCAAGGCACAAGCATTTTAAATTGGTGGAATGAAAAACAAACTCCTGAATACCCCATTGAAAACCCACAAAACAGTCCAGCTAGGGTTAACTTCTATTTCAATGACAAATTCTGCAGGAGATAACCTGTAAGGGTGTGTTCAGAAATGAGAGCGTGTTACCTAAGGTCCCAAGGACGACAGCCCGATCCGGGATTAGTCATGTTTTAGGGGCGGCAGAGATGGATGAAAGCCGTGCTTTACCTTCAGGATGTGAAGAATTCTGAAAAAGAGGAGGTAGGTGTCTCCGGCAGGGTAGAACTGAGCCAAGCGTGAGCTGCTTTGTGATGCTTTCGTCTTCGAGGCATTCACACGTGGCTTCAGGGTTTTGCCTAGAATTTTCCTTCTGTTAGTAACAATGGGGGAATATGTTTTGGGCTAAAATTTTTTTTAATCCCCTGAGGGCATGAAGGTGTTTTGGCACATGTAAATAGATTTTCAGAGTTGGTGGTCTTAACATTTGGCAGCCTCTGGAGAAGTGGGGGATGTAGCGTTGGCATAGAAATGCTTTATTATTGCTAAACTACTGTATCTAGGATGTTTTGCTGACCAAAGAAAGAAAACCCAGCGTAATCTTTGCAAAGGCAGGTGGCTTGGGCTTTCCACGTGGGTAATCAGAAGACCCCTCCGCAGGGCGTTTTTTTGTGCTTCGTGTATATTAAATCCTCCCTTAATAACATATTCTGACTATAACATTTAAAATGCTAGGCAACCCACAAAAGGCCCATTGGAGAGGGTGCGGTGGATCTATTTAGAGGGATTCCATTCATTCATCTGCCCGCGCTCCAAACCTTCTTTGGTTCTTTTCATATTGCAATTGCTTTTCCCGTGAATGATTTGTCTGCCCTCCCTGCAGATTCCCCATCTCTGCTCTTGCTTTTTTAACTTCACTCAGTTCTTGAAAAGACCCTTAGGAGAATTGGCAGATGGCTCTAGCATTAAAACCTTGTCTTCCTTTGTCAGTCTCCTTTTGTGGCCCGTGGTTTCTATTGTCATGCCAATGCAGCCGTAGGGAAACCGAGCCGAGTTCTGAGCACTGACCCAGCCCCTGCTCGGCCGTTTGTTTTGAAAGCCCCCAAAAGCACTGAAGAAACTGTCAGCTCAGAAAGTGATGGAGGTGAGTTTAGTTATTTGATACACTTGGGCGGAGGTGGAGGGTGAGCAGGACACAGAGCCCCCGCTGGAAGATTGCAGAGAGAGGAAGAGAAAGAAGGCTTTTTTGACCTTCCTGTTTGATTACTTACTGTTTTCTTGAGTGAAGCTTTTCACCGAGGTCTTCGTTTAGTGAATTCAAAAGCAGAATGAAACACACACACGTATATAGATAGATAGATGGATAGATAGGTGTATCTATCATAGGTATATATGGTAGGTATATCTATCTATCTATCTATCTGTCTGTCTGTCTGTCTGTCTATCTATGTGTATCTATTTCCATGCAGAACTCTTCCCTTTTGTATCACATGATATCTTAAAAAATGTATTTTTCAACACCATTTTTAGAGTTAAGAAATGGCTAGAAACCAAAATATCCAGTCCTTGATCCCTGCATTACGGGCCACGTTATTTCCCTACACTCTGGACCATTTTCAGATTAACAAGAGCAGTACTTGTGCTGATGGAGTTTAAAAAAATGTTTTTCGTAATAATTTCTAACTAGAAAGAAAGTTACAAAAATCCTGTAGTGAATTCCGACACCCTCTTCGCCCCACGGACATCAGTTGTTAACATTTTGGCGTATTTGGTTTTGAATACTCTCTCTCAAGTCGTTAGAGAATTAAGTTGCAGACATCATTCCCCTTACCCCTCAGTACGTCCGTGTTTAATTCCTAGTAGGGCATTTCTCTTACATAACATGATACAGTTGTTAAAATCAGGAAATTTAACAGCAGTGCATTACTATTAATCTACAGTCCTTACTCAAAATTTGCCATTTGTTCCTAAAACATCCTGGTTTGTGACCCCCCCCCCCCCCCCCCCCCCCCCCCCCCCCCCCCCGCAAACCCCCAGCATCTAAAATGCCCTGTTTTTAACAGAATTTTTTTTCCGGTGCAGAAGCCACTACAGATTTGCCAGTGACATTTAGCTGTCCTTGCTCCTTAATCTCCTCTAGCCTGGCACAGCTCCCTGGTTTTCTTTGATACAACATTGACATTTTTGAAGAGGACTGGCCAGGGGCGCCTGGGTGGCCCAGTCGGTTAAACGTCCAACTTTGGATCCGGTCATGATCTCGCTGTTGCCAGTTCCCCGAGTTCGAGCTCCGCTTTGGGCTCTGTGCCCACAGCTCGGAGCCTGGGGCCTGCTTCAGATTCTGTGTCTCCCTCTCTCTCTGCCCCTCCCCTGCTCACACTCTGCCTTTCTTCTTTCATATAAATGCACATTAAAACAATTTTTTTAAAGGTCTGGCCAGTTTCAGGGCAGTTGCATTATAGCCTGTCCCTCAGTCTGTGTTTGATGTGTCAAAATTAGATTTATGACATGTATTTTTAGCAGGAGTTAATACAGTTTTAAGAATGCCAGGGGCGCCTGGGTGGCTTAGTCGGTTAAGTGTCCGACTTTCGCTTAGGTCATGATCTCGCGGTTCGTGGGTTCGAGCCCCGCATCGGGCTCTGTGCTGACTAGCAGCTCAGAGCCTGGAGCCCATTTCAGAATCTGTGTCTCCCTCTCTCTCTGACCCTCCCCTGCTCACGCTGTCTCTCTCTCTCCCCTAGAAATAAATAAAAATATTAAAAAAAAAAAAAGAATGCCAGTGGCACAGTCTCTTGTGACTTTGCCAGAGTTTTTGAAGCGTTATGATAATCCAATTGAAGAAAACTTTCAAACTTTGAGGAAAGATTGATTTTAATAAGGCACTCACCACTGAGAGGAAAAATGGATGGTAGTCGTCTTCTGCTAGTTGCTACTTCCATTTAGATCATCTTATTTCATTATCTATTATCTAAATAACACACCAATTAGATCAATTTTTAACATAATTGTCATGTCAAATAATAACACTTCACATGGAAATGACTGTTTATTCGTTTTGTTAAGAATTTTCTTTGACTACAGCACGTCCCAAGCGTATCATTAAGTTTCCGTTTTATGGAGACAAACATAGAGCCTGGGGATTCAGGGATAATTTGGGGAGGTATCCAGCCATTTAAACAATTTTTTTATTTTATTTATTTCTGAGAGAGAGAGAGACAGCGTGAGCAGGGGAGGGTCAGAGAGAGAGGGAGACACAGAATCTGAAGCAGTTTCCAGGCTCTGAGCTGTCAGCACAGAACCCGATGTGGGGCTCGAACCCATGAACAGTGAGATCATGACCTGAGCCGAAGTCGGACGCTTAACCTACTGAGCCACCCAGGCGCCCCAGTATCCAGACATTTAAATAGATAATTAAAAAATGCAACTAGGGTCATCTGGGTGGTTCAGTTGGTTAAACATCCGACTCTTGGTTTCAGCTCAGTTCATGATCTCATGGTTCCTGAGTTCAAGCCCTGCATCGGGCTCTATGCTGACAGTGTGGTGCCTGCTTGGAATTCTGTCTCTTTCTTTCAAAATAAATAAACTTTAAAAATGCAACTAATAATTATACTTTAGCTGTGGGAGTGGGGTGGCTGTCCTAAGGAATTAAGGAATCCCCCCCCCCCCCCATTCTTGACCACGGTGTTCCTGGTTCTGAGCACCATGTAGGACAGTTGAAGAAAGTAGTGCTTCTGAGCCTGTGCTCTGCCCGAATTCAAGAGTCCTGCTTACGCCTTCACCCCGCTATGTGGGCAGATCCTCAGCGTGTCAGTACACTGGCGGTAATAATAGCGCCTGCCTTATTAGAGTTGCTCTAAATATAACTCTTGTATGAGACTCTCTCAGTGTGCCCAGGATTCGGTGTGTGCACAAGAAAGACCGTGTTGATGGTGTTGAAGCAGGGGTCCATTAAGTGTTGGTGGGTGTGAATAAGTAAACGGAAGCATGAGCCAGGGGTCATGGGGGGTGATGGGAGCCCATCAGAGAGGACCTGATACGTCTTCTCAGGAGAGGTGGCCTTTGTCTTAAGTCTGATAGGGTAGAAGAGAGCGGGACTGGCCTCGAGATTTGTGGTGCTTCGTGCAAAATGAACACATTGAGCCCTTGTTCAAAAATTAAGAATTTAAGGGGATGCCCAGGTAGCT